AATTTTTCATTTAATTTTTAATTAATTAAATTACTTAATTTCCATTAACACCCATCCTTTGTTTTCCCTTCAAAATTTTCCTGTTGTTTCCTTCGCATTCCCGAGAAAATCAAATCCAATCATGACGACCATCGCCCTTTCCGACTTGCCCTCCTCTCCTACTTGCATCAAAATTATGGTCATTGCCCTTCTCTCCCTCTCCTTCTTCCTACTTGCCAACCACTATTATGCTACCTATCCTTACCTCCCCTTCTTCTCCTCCACCGCCACGTACTCCGCTGCGCAGTCTCCGTCTCTCGCATTGCAGACACCGGAATCGCATGCTCCGAATCCTCCGTCAACTCCTTCTCCTTCTCCACCGCGACCATCGCTGGAGGTGGAGAAGATGGGGATAGTGGACGAGATCGGCGCGATGTTGGAGGAGTTCGAGGCCTGACAGAAAAAAATATTAAAACAGGCGTCTGACGTCAGATCCACCTCAGGCTCTCGAGCCGCGCGATAATCGACTGGCCTGGCGCTCGGGGCTGCACGGGCTCCCTCGCCAGCCAACGCTGGACTTCCTCCCTCGGGCAATCAAGCCCTGTTCCGGAGCCTGTCCCTCGAGTAAGAGCTCCCACTGGAGCTGCTCTAAGGGGAAAGGGTGGGCTTAATCTCACAATGGGCTAGCAATAATGTGGTGGTGAAATTAAACATAATACTTCGCACTTACAAGTAAAGAGGAATACTACTAGACCATAGTACTAAGCGGTAAACAATTAAGCACAATTGCACAAATCGCTCCTTTGGAGATGCTCTTAGGAGCTTGCTAAAAAAATTTCCTCCAATATAGAAAGAGAGTTTACAACAGAGGAATGAAATTCGAAATCTCTTATGTCTCATCTCATGGGTTCCCAATCCAAATTAGACAAGAGCAGTAGATAAGCGGGTGAAAGAACTAGAAAACTTTCGTTGGATTGTCTTGATGAAATATAGGATTTGTTTCCCTAGTCGATGCAGAAAAGTAGTCACTACAAGCTGGATCAAGACACACGCTTCGACAAGTCTTTCTCCTAGCGAGTGTGATTGGAGATGAATTTAGCACCTCTCTCAATCTGTGTATCCAAATTATCCCAACATATATGCAAATTAATTGGCCACAACATGTATATAGATTCATGAAGAAATTTCATGAAGAGTGGTATTTACAAAGAAAGGTCGATGCGCTCAAATGAAAGTACAGTTTCAAATATATATATATATATATATATATATATATAAGAATTGTTATTAGCACTCTAAAAATCTCATTCTATACTTCTCATAAGTGTATTTTTCTTTCTAATAATAGAAAGTTTGGAGTGCCAAATAAGATTTTTGGAATATTAATAACAATTCCATATATATATATATAGTTATTTCTTTTGAAGCAAAAATCTGGTTTGCAAATATAGATGTATAAGATGAGAACACACTAATCTAGCTGTAGTTTCAATGTTTACTTACTTGAAATGTGAGTAATCACGAAACACGAATTAATAAGAATAATTTGAATATTTATTCCAGGTAAGTAAGCATTCTAAGGTGCTAATTCTCATTACCGGAGATGCATGAACGTGCCAAAATTGAAACTTCGACCATGTCTATTACAGATCATTTAACAAAGTAATTAACAAACCTAGTTCTAATAAACTTGTTTTATTGTTAGAAAAAGCTGGCGTAAAAAAATGGTTTAATAAGCTAGCATATTAAACAAATGATCACGTTAAACTAGAATAAGTAGCCGGGTATCATCATGCTCCAAAAGCTACAACCTAAATTCACGAGCTGCGAGTAATATGCATGTATATACCATAAGAAAACATTACTTATCCAAACCCTAATTGGTTTCCCCTGTAAGCATGATGAAATATGCTCAAATCACAATGCACTCACATCCCGATTGACTAAAGAAACCGTGGCTGATGGGAAGGGATCTTCAGCACTAGATATAGCCGCTATGTTTCTCCCCTGCAACATACATAATATACATATTTATATTTAAGCCATTAATTAATCACTTTTATTAATTTATCAATAAGGTTTGTGTAGTTACACAAAGAAAGGGATCACACGATCGGCTGTTGGATCTTTTATAATGAGATCGTGCGGCTGTCAGTGGGCTATGCTTTATTCATATTTTTTGTTTTTATTTTTTTTATTTTTATTTTTTTTAACTTTTCGTCCTTTACTTCTTCAGTTCTTTCCCTTTCGTTGAATCTCTTTAAATATGGTTAACTGGCAGCCGCTCGATCTTATTAAAAAAGACTGAACAATTAAGGGTTTGTTTGGAAACTTATCAAATAATTGAAATGTTTTTAAAGCTAATATTTTTAAGTTTCGAAATCACTTGAAATGTTTTTTTTTGAATTTCACTAACATTTTTATTAAAAATTAATTCTAAAAATATTTTTATTAAAAACGTTTTTAATTATTTTAAAAGACATTTTCAAATAATCTTAAACATTATAGGATTCTATTGCTTAATATATATATAAAATATATCTGTCACCACATTTCTTAATTTTTCCTGGATTCTTTTTGTCTGTCATAAAGATCATGAAAGCAGACAATTTTTGTCATTATGCTGGGTTTTATTTTAAGTTTGAATGTTTAAACAGATCATATATATGTGGTATTCTCAGCGATAGGCTCCGGATCCTCTTTAAGAGAATTCAGAAGATCAATTAATCATGTTTGTTAGAAAATATTTTAAATTTTTATTTAAAATTGAATATAAATAGTACTTAATGAAAATTGACCGTACGATATACAATAAACGATTACAATTAATTGATTCTCAAAAAAAAAAAAAAAAAAAAAAGATTTGAAGAGGATTCTGATCCGTATTCTTGGTCACATTAATTGTTATTGCGGATTAAAAAATGGTTTCCACATCTATTCATTCTCACGATGATCAAGGTCTTTCAAGTTAATTTTTACAGATTACATATATACTTAAAATGTCGATCAAAACTATTTGTACTATAATTATTATAATTAATCAGGGGATCCTATAGGTAAATACACTAGATCTGTTTGTTCATGTAGCATCCGCGTCTAAAGAAAAAGGGTTTGAAATAATTTTGTAAAAAGCTTGCATTTGAATGCTGAAGTTTTAGAGAAATGATTTGGTTTTGACTAGTAATATTGTACTTGAATTTAATTTGTAATAAAGTTTAATGCAGAACGACTATAACCTTAACCTTATATAATATACTCCCCGTGACCAATGTTGTGAGTTGTATAATTTTTATATATCATTTTTTAGCTTCTCACATATTTCTTTAAATCTAGCCATCAAAGTGAATAAATCAAATTAGAACAACGAATATAATTAAATAGAGATATATAGTAAGCTAAATAGGCCTTAAAAGTCCGGCCCCAATACGCCTAAATTAAATAGAGATATATAGTAAGCTAAATAGACCTTAAAAGTCCGGCCCCAATACGCCTAAAGGGGTGGACTTTTTTATTTATTTATTTTTAGTTATCACTTTCTCTATTAAAAGGTGAGCAACCTAACCCTTGAGTCATATGCTATATAGCTCCGGGAGGCGAAAGAGCCAACATCAAGGATTCCAAACCATGAGCTCTTAGGGAAGATCTTTCTTCGATATCTTCGATATGCTCCTAAAAAAAAAATCAAAATTCGCGTGAATTCTTCTCCCAATTAAGAAGAGATCTTAGCGGATCCAACATCACCACCATTTCTTATCGGATTTTATTTAATACCCGACATAAATTGACTTTTCTTATCGTTTTTAAGAACGCCACAAATGAGTTGTTACGTAATAATGTGAATTGCTGCATATGAAATTGATCACAAATAATGCACTTGTTTGTAAAAAAGAAATTGAAAACATGCCCTAATTTCATTTGACTTAATCAACATGATTACTTTTGAATAAACTTTTATTCGTTTCATTACCACTTGTAGAATAAGCAACTGATCAAGCTGTTGGAACTGGAGTCATATATATTCAAATGTTGTAGATTCGATTAGCAAGGGGCTTAGTCTCCTCGGATGCCACCAGCAGAACATCGATCCAGCTAGCCTGTCTAATGGCTAATCACTTCACGTTTGTACCTATACTTGCAGACATGGTTACCACTATGTCATATATAAATATAAACATGGTCACCCTAATAAATGAAAATTTTATAACACTTTGCACGAGTGGTGCTCTGGAAATCCAATTAAAATCATATATCCATTACATTAATAATAATCCAGAATTGTTAATTAGCATGTGCTTGATGATATTATTGTTACATATATAGACATAATGGTCAAATTTCAATGGTTGCATCATGTAGTTTATAGAGAAAAATACTTTGCGTCCCACTCTAGCTTGTGTAACCCCCTCATTCCATCCTATTTATTTAAAGAATTTTTCCTATACATATAATTATACAATCATTTCTTAAATCACCGTTTCAATACCATCTCTATAAACCCAACCAAATTAAAAATCGGTTAGTTGTTCATAAGTATAAGCTAAACTGCAGATTTCACCATGATGATCTTAATTGTTACCAAAATCGTCTATTAGTTTGATACTTATGGATGACTAAACTGTCACCAATTTATTTGAATTACAAAGATGATCTTGAAATGATGATTTAGGAGATAAACAGTTTCACTTATGACATATATATGTATTAAGAGAATCCTTTACGACGAGGGATCCTTATTTTTCTAAAAAAAATAGAGACATCATCTTGATCGTTGGATTTGACTTTAATGAAATTGTGTGATTGAGATTGTGTGGCTTGTGATTTAATTTCAATCACACAATTTCATTAAAGTCAATCCAACGGTCAAGAGAATGTTTCAATTAAAAAAAAAAAGAAAAAGAATCCCTCTTGTTAAAGAGAAGGTGGAACAAGTTGCGTCCATCGAGAGTGAGACGCAAGTATTGTTCAGTACTGACATTGTATGAGAAGCAAGAGTACGTAACTGGCCATTGATCGAAAATATTGGTGTGTATTGACTTCTGTTAGAGTATATTAGTGGTCAAGATTATGACATGTGTCATTGGATTATATGAGTTGAGATAGATAGGTCAACATGTATTTATAGTGAAATATCTCTTGTAATAAGGTAGCAACTGAAATAATAAATCAGTTAGAAAAGTTTCCCTCTCTTTTGAGCTTTCTCTCTTTCTCTCTCTAGTTGTTCCTGATCTCTCAAAGAACTGCGGTCTCAATTGAAAGTTGAAGAAGATACGTTGAATGAAGTCACTAAGCAAGTTCCTCTCATGTCTGCTATGTTGGCTCATAATTCTCCATCTGCATATGACACTGGAGGTGTATCTGGTACTAAGGAAGGTTCATCTGGCAGCTATTTTGGCCTTGCTTCTAGCCCTCAGTCACCATATTCCTATGTGCCTCTTCAACAACCTCCTCAGTTCTTACCTATTCCTTTCTCACAACCCTTTTCAAAGCAACAATTACCCTATCCTCAGTTTCAACAACTTCCTTTTCCTGGACCCTTGGCCTTTGTCTCTCAAAGTGGTTCAGGTACATACAATAATTTCAGAGGCAATAATTTCAAACACAAAGGGAAAGGCAAGAAGTTTTTTCAGGGTAATCAAGGAAATCAAGGACAGTTTCCACAACAGTTCTCATTTGGTGGAAATCAGTACTCACCTCAGTCTCAATCGCATTCAGCATCAGGACCACAACACCAAATGATCTCTCCACAGAGTTATCAACCAATGCAGAAGTGTCAAATTTGTGATAAAAAGGGTCACTCTGCTATCAATTGTTTTCAACATGGTTGTCAGATTTGCCATAGAGTGAGGCATACGGCTGCAACTTGTTTTGACAGAAATAATTCTTCAGCTCCGGGATATCAGTCATCACAGCAGTATTATCAACCACCTTTTCCACAGTTCCAGTCTCAACAGCCTCCAGCCTCACACCAGTCTATGAATTTCAATGGTCAGTCATCTGGCATGCATTTCAATGGTCAGTCCTCTGGCATGAGTGGTTCTTCTCATTCTCCTGTGGCTATGATGGCTCAAGCTACATCTACTCCATCTGCACCCCAACAAGAGTTCTGGCTTCTTGACTCCGGCGCTACTCATCACATGACCTCTGATATTTCTAATCTTCAGATGGCCTCTCCTTATCCTCATACGGATACTGTCACTGGTGCTAGTGGTGAAGGTTTGATTATTGCTCATATTGGCAAATCTAACCTTCCAACCAAGTCTCATACTTTTAAACTTCAATCTGTATTGCATGTTCCTCGTTTGTCCCAACACTTATTGTCTATGCATCAATTATGCAAAGATAATAATTGTCGATGTATCATTGATGAGTTTTCTCTCTGTATACAGGACAAGATCACTGAGAGAATATTGTTCCAATGACTGAGTAATCATGTCGTTTATCCTCTTCCTGTGCTTCCAACATCAAAGGTCTTACCAGCAGCATTTCTTGGTCAAAAGGTGTCTTCTTCATTGTGGCACCGTCGCATGGGTCATCCTACTAATCACATAGTTAAGCTAGCTCTTAGTAAGTTTGCCATTCCTTTCCATTGTACTGCACCATCTCAGCCTTGTACTCCCTGTTTGGAAGGAAAGTTTACTAAACTTCCTTTTCCTTCTCCTGCTTCAAAATCTGTACTTCCTTTTGCAGTTATACATTCTGATGTATGGGGGCCTGCACCTTGTATGTCTATTGAGGGGTATAGATATTATGTCTCTTTCATAGACGAATGTACTAGGTATACATGGATTTTTCCAATCATCAATAAAGCTGCTGTCTTTGGTCATTTTGTGCAATTTCATTCCTTTGTATTGAATTCTTTTGATGCTCATATTAAAACTCTTCAAAGTGATGGGGGTGGGGAATATATTGGTGCTTCTTTTCAGTCTTTTCTTCGGGACAATGGTATAACTCATCAAAAGTCTTGTCCTTATACCCCTGAGCAGAATGGATTAGCCGAGAGGAAAAACAGGCATGTTGTTGAGACTGCCATTACTCTCTTGCAGCAAGCTTCATTACCTTCTATTTTTTGGTATCATGCCTGTGCTACTGCAACCTATCTTATCAATAGGATGCCAACCTCCACTTTACTCATGAAATCTCCCTTTGAGGTCTTGCATAAATCACCTCCTCAACTTGCTCACTTACGCATTTTTGGTTGTACTTGTTTTCCCTCTTTGAAACCCTACAGAACAACCAAACTTGATCCAAAAACCACTGTTTGTATTTTTTTGGGGTATGCATCTCAGTATAAAGGTTATATCTGTTACTCTGTCAAAGATAACAAGTTAATTGTGTCTCGACATGTCTTGTTTGATGAAAGTCAGTTTCCTGGTTCCACTACCCTTCACCATCTACAGTCTACTGCATCTTTGTCATCAGTTGTCCCACTCTCTGTCCTTCATTCAAACTCATTTGAGCATCCTTCCTTAAATCATGATCTCTTACCTCGTGCCATTGTTCCTGCATTTTCCCATACTACTAGTCCAGTTACTCAGTCCCATATTCTCCATCAAGGTGATCTTGTCTCCACATCGCCGGCTATCTCTAATTCAGTCTCAGATTCATCAATGGGGTTAATCTCTGATTCTGCCATGGGTTCCTCATTACCTCCAAATGCTACTACTTCTCCAACTCCTATGGGTTCGGACTTACATCCAGATACTACTACTTCTCAAGCTCCTGAGTTACAACTAGTTCCATTGCATTCTCAAAATTTCCATTCTATGCAGACACGGTCTAAATCTGGGATATCTAAGAAGAAGAAGGTTTATCATACTTCATTTCATCTTGATTCTGTGCAAGAACCAACGTCTTATTCTGCAGCTTCTAAGTCTCCACAGTGGCAGCTTGCTATGCAAGAAGAAATGGATGCATTACTACAGCAACATACCTGGCAACTTGTTCCATTACCACCCAATAAAAATTTGGTGGGTTGTAAATGGATATACAAAGTCAAACGACATCCCGATGGGTCAGTTGCCCGATATAAGGCTTGTTTGGTGGCCAAAGGTTTTTCTCAAGAAGCTGGTTTGGATTATTATGAAACATTCAGTCCAGTGGTGAAGCCAACTACTGTGAGACTTATTCTATCTCTTGCAGCCACTCAGGGATGGAAACTGAAACAATTTGATGTCAAGAATGCATTTTTACATGGATTTCTTGAGGAAGAGGTGTATATGTCTCAACCACAGGGTTTTGTTAACAAGGCTCATCCCGACTATGTTTGCAAATTACAATGGTCACTTTATGGTCTCAAACAAGCTCCCCGAGCTTGGAATGACAGGTTCACCACCTTCTTACTTTCATGGGGTTTTAAGTCTTCTTATGCCGATCCTTCAATGTTTGTTCAACACAATGGTACCAACATGGTTGTGTTACTGTTATATGTGGATGACATTATTCTTACTGGTGATAGTGATGCTTGTGTTCAGTCTGTTATCTCTCAGTTAACCACTGAGTTTGACATGAAGGACTTAGGGATTCTCCACTATTTTCTTGGCTTGCAAATCGCCTATCAATCTCCGGGATTATTTGTGCATCAGTCTAAATATGTCCATGATCTCTTGCAAAGGACGAATATGCTCGACTGTAAACCATGTATCACACCCTGTCATCCTAATCAGAAACTTCTGACTCATGGTAGTCCTTGTTATTCCGATCCAACACATTACAGGAGCATTGTCGGAGCTCTTCAATACTTAACCTTTACACGGCCTGATATTGCCTATTCTGTGAATCAAGTGTGCCAATTTATGCATTCTCCTCTGGAATCTCATTATGTTGCTGTCAAGCGGATTCTTCGCTATCTTCGCGGTACTTTGGATTGGGGCATCTTCTTTCAACCTGGTTCTCTATGTTTACGAGCTTACACAGATGCTGATTGGGCTGGTGATCCCAATGATCGGCGGTCTATTACAGGTTTTGTTGTGTTTTTAGGCTCCAATCCCATTTCTTGGAGTTATAAGAAACAACACACAGTTAGCCGATCATCGACAGAGGCTGAATACAGGGCTATGGCCACTACCACTGCCGAAGTTGTTTGGCTTCAACAACTTTTGCAGGACCTTCATCTTGACATTTCCTCTCCTCCCAGTTTACATTGTGACAACGTCTCTGCTATGGCTTTGGCTACAAATCCGGTATTGCATTCTAAAGCCAAACACATAGAGGTGGATTGTCATTTTGTGAGGGAGAGGGTTCAACAAGGTGTTATCTCTCTGCAATTTGTTGCTTCCACAGCTCAATATGCCGATATTTTCACAAAGGGTTTATGTTCTCCATTGTTTACCACTCATTGTTCCAATCTTATGCTTGGTTCGCCGAAGACATAAGATTGAGGGGGAATGTTAGAGTATATTAGTGGTCAAGATTATGACATGTGTCATTGGATTATATGAGTTGAGATAGATAGGTCAACATGTATTTATAGTGAAATATCTCTTGTAATAAGGTAGCAACTGAAATAATAAATCAGTTAGAAAAGTTTCCCTCTCTTTTGAGCTTTCTCTCTTTCTCTCTCTAGTTGTTCCTGATCTTTCAGATTCCATAGCTATTGTTAACAACTTCCATTAAAGAGATCCGAATTCCGCAGTGGGTAGATCTAGCAATCCGTAGTTATCCATTTTTGAAGTCCTTAATAACATTTATACCTGCATGCAGTGATCAAGTCAGGTCAGGTCAGGTCAGGTAAGGTCAGGTATGGAACTTGTGGTACCGAGCATGGCATGCATGTGAACCCCCAAGTAGTGGCAAAGTCAGGATTTGCCGAGGGGAGGGACGAAATTCAAAAGAGTGCAAGGTTCAATCAAAGCGGAAACTTTCACATTGGAAATGCAAAGTTTTGAATCAATATTTATGACAGAAAACAATCCCTTCACCAAAGCGGTTGTAAGCGGTAATATCAAAGTCATGTAAAAATGTTAAATTAGTTAAGATTAGATTCTAAAAAACGTTTAGGCGCTAGTCAGACAGTGAACTGTGGCCTAGCAGTTAGGCGCCTAGGGGAGGTTTAGGTAGGAGCCTAGATGGATTTAAATAAATTTCTTTTATCGTAGAATAAGCATTAAACAATATTTACATTATGTTTTAAAAATTAATACAATATTTATAGATAATGTGAGAATTTAAGATAAATACGCTGTGGTCTTAAAAAGAGGGAAAAAATACATACAAGAAAAAAAGAGAAATTGGTTAACAAACCACAAAAAAGGTGGGGTCAGAAAAGAAAAAAAGAGGACAATACTTGAAGTTAGTACTCAATTTACTCACTATAACAGGTGGTCTAATAACCATATAACACCTATTTATTTAATATTTTCCTAAGGCTAGGGATCTGCTATCTCCAAATTTGTGTTTCTTTTATGTCTCCTTTCTAATATTTACGACATGTGTCTTTATTTTAACTCTCAGTTTAATAGTATCAATGTTTAATAATATTAAATAAGTAAATAATTAAAAGTTCAAAAATAAAATCAATCATCACTCCCACTGCCCATCAACAATTCAACATCAACACCAATCCTTCACCTGAGAACTCTTCATCTTCGCGAAACCTCATTTTCTCTCTCCTCAACTTTTTGTCTGTTCAATTACCCAGCCTATCAAACAACAAATTTCATGTAAATTTTGGTTTGAGGAAGCAAGGAAGGGGGTAGCTCTGCTGCATTTTGTTCTCTGGTTGGAGGGTTGAATAAAAAAAGGATATAGAGAGATTGAAGGGAACGGGGGATAGAGACTGAAGTCTGAAGAGAAGTTAGTGAACGGCCCCTATATTTTTTTTCTACCCAACATATACAAAACAACGTCGTTTCGCTTTATTTTTTTTAATTTTTTTTACTAGGACCAAAACGATGTTGTTTTACAGCAGCAGCAGTGGCGAACTAGTTAGGTTTTCTGGTGAGGGGAGGGGCTGAACCAGATCCCCAGACCTGTTTTCTGGTGAGGGGAGGGGCGGCCCCCACTCTTTGCCTTCATGTGGCTTCGCCACTGCCCCCAAGGGCACATGAGTCTGCATATGCATGGGTTAGCATTTGAAGTTCTATGAGTACCATGATGTTGAAGCTTATCAAGCATGGACCAACTGCACCATTTGGTCCTACAAATTCTAGTGAACAAGTCTTTATAGCTGCTTTACAATAGTACAAAATTCAATACATCACCCCAATAAACTTTGAGTTTGAATATAATTTGGCTCGATAAAATTTTCCTTCTGTATATAGATTAATATATACAGTTGACAAGAACTGAAGAAAGAGTCTATGGTAGAATTAAACTCTAGTAAAACAAACTGGTAACACAAGGGATAATTACATAAAACTAAATTTACAAAATTCAAAAGTGAAAACCGTAAGGCCGCACATAATCTATGTACGAGTAAGGCATTGAGGAAACATCCAATTTCAACTGTTTGGAAGATGCAATATTTGAAAACTGAATTGGTGGGCTTTGCTTATCTACAAACCCTTGGTTAGTAAATATGCAATTTGGTCAAGTGTAGCAACAAAACCAACAGTGAGTTTCTTTCGAGTAACCTTTTCTTAGATGTAGTGATAGTCAACCTCAACATAATGAGTGTGAGTATAAATATGGGGTTAGATGCAAAGGATATTACTGAAATATTATCGCACCAAATCTTGGGAGATGACAATGGTAGGCGAAGAATACGAAAAAATTCACGAAGCCAAGAAATCGTGGCAGTAGGTTATGCAAGTTGGCAATATTCAGCTTCAATGCTTAAGTGACAAACACCATGTTGCTTTCTAAACTCCAGGAGATGATATTATT